TAATCTAAAAATGACATTTTTGTATCTAAGTACAGAAACACAAATCAAATCGCCAAAGAATTCTTAGATTGTTTAGAAAAAAAAAAGAATTGAAGAAAAGGTTTTGTATGTGGCTCAAAAGTGGTGTCGTGTGTGTGTATATATATATATATATATATATATATATATATATATATATATATATATATATATATATATATATATGAGAAATTAGAGAGTTAATCTTATAAATTAATTATACAAATCTCGAAATTAATTGCATAATCAATCGTTACCAAAACTGTTTTTAGAGATCCACCGTCATGGCCTCTACCCCTTGACCTCACTAAGGGGCACTGCCCCTAGGACCCTACAAAGGGTGCATCCCCTTTGCCCTATGTCTTTATGTCTTATCCGTTTATAATTCAATCTTATATACGTATGTATTTTGTATTCTTCAAATATATAATATCGAGTACGAACGATAGACCCATTAACTAATATGTCAGCCCGAATTGTACGAAACGTAATGTAACACTAAAATAGTAACATTCTTTATTAATTCCCTTTACTAATAAACTTTTCGTAAAAATGTGTGAAAATTACTAGAAATGAAATAGGATGGTGATGTTGCCATAAAGCAAAAATAGTGAGGGTAACACATGTGTAGTGATATTATAATAATACAACACCCAAATAGTTAATTTCTATGTTATGAGCTGAAATTCTTTCATTACTTGTAATATATGCATCATGACTTGTACAGAATTTAGGTTTTAGAAATCTCACCCTTTTGTCCGGTCTAATACCATATCATATCGAATTGACTTTATTGTCCTTTAGCCTACACCCAACCACCAGTAGCTTGGTGGTCCACTTGTACTGGTTTTATCGTCAATGTACAATAAAATCACAGAACCAAATCTGTTGACCATAGCCTTTTTCACTTCCTGGCGCCACCCACCACGTTTGAGAATTAAAATTTATTTTTATTACTTGTTTTAGCTTTTGGTATATTGGTATATTATATGTATCATCTGGGACCTTTAACAATTATAATATCTTTAGCATATGTTTCGTTTTTTGTATTCTTAATCCAAACTGAATTGATAATGTCTATCCCTATCTTTAACGATCGTTTATCATCTACCATCGACATCCCATCATATGCAAGTCACATGAGGACATTTACGTCATTTCCACCCTCTCTGTTAATCACATGGTGTCACTGCCATTTACTCAATCATCCGATCGAAAGAGTTTCAACTTTCATCTCAAAGGTTTATCAATACTCATTGGAGACATTCATGAAAAAACACAACGGTTATTTGTGATTATAAGGTTATTTATGGTGTTGCCGATGTGGAACATTAAAGCGGTTGTTAGGCCGGAGGGAGTGATGTCATAGGAACCGCACTCCCTTCTTTGATATATAGGAGCCACGTCATTTTTACCACACAAAGTGTGGTTCTTTACCACACCCAAGGAGTGGAAACCATAGTAGAGAAAGAGAGAGGTGAGAGAAAGGAGAAGAGAGAGAGAAATACACATAAATAAAGAGAGAGAAGAAAGAAAGTGCGACCATTTCTAACCGCAGTGCGGCCAAGACTGCACGAGACCGCATCCTGGGGGTGGTGTTTGCGGTTGACGTGGCACACCCGCGGTTTGGAACCGCACTCCACACCCATCACTAAACCTAATAGGCTAATACTAGCGTATGGTAAGGTGATTATAGTTTATGACAATGTTAGTTTGTAACTTTGTAATATTTTTAGAGTTTTAGATGGTTTGTTTGAGTTGGCTTTTAATAATAAGTTTGTGCTTCAAATAAGGTAAACCAAGTCTCTTTCACAATCAAGATGCAACATTGGGGATGCTTCTCCAACGCTTTAGGAATATTTTATAGATGTGGATATGTTGGCTTGGTAGATTACGTTGATATTGGTGCCTTTTTAGTAAATGGTTGAAGTCTCATCGTAAAATAGTTAGGTTGGTAATGTCTTTCTTTACTTTGATAATACCATAAAAAGATTTGGATTGTGGCTTGATGGCATTATATAGTGACGATGGTGTTATGCACTTGTCATGGCATTACTTTGTGATATCATCTAAGTCTAACATGGTCGAACAAGCAGAAGATTATGTCAAATGCTTCACCTCAATTAAGATTAAAAAATTGTCATTAGCATTGTCGTTTGGAAGTTCATGCTGCTTAGGCCTTCTAGTATACCAACGACGAAGAGGCTCGTGGTCTACGTGACCATGAACGTTGCTCGTGCACACTGCCCCGGCCTACCGTGGTGGGCGTTTTCGTGGTGGTTTGTGGTGGGGAAGACGAACGACAACGCCCAATCAGGGCTCCTTCTTCTCTTAGCTTTTCTTCTTCTCCCTATGTCTCTCTCTCTCTCTCTCTCTCTCTCTCTCTTCATTCTTGTGTTTGTGGTCGTGGAGGGTACTCCATGGTTTTGCGGTGGGTGGTGGTGATTGATCTTGAAGCTCTCCACGATCGTTGTTGTGGAGAGTATAGCAAATGGCCTTAAAGAGGTTAATAGATTGTAATGACTTTGATAGTAATATAAAGTATAAAGAAAAGGACCGATGGTTAGACCTTAATGTGGTTGTATGTCCTAAAGTTTTACCATTTAGTGTTCCACATCCAACATTTAGAGAAAATTTAATATGTCATAAATAAACATTAAAATATCATATTTCTTACGTCTAATATATATATATATATATATATATATATATATATATATATATATATATATATATATATATATATACTAAATAAGTTTATAAAATATCATATATACCCAAATCTTTTTTTAATATTTTAAACATTTTTACAACATTTATTTTAATTTAAAATCATTATAGTTATAAAACTTATGGAATACACATAATAACGTTATTCTATTTTCTAGGAATGCATGATACCTGAATTTTAAAAAACTAATTGAAAACACAAAATAAAACAAGGGAATGGTGCACGAGGGAACAACTTGGAAGGAACGACCGGTAGTAGCGATTTCTTGTGTCATATGTCAACATTGGCGACTATGGCAGCAACGTTAACTACGATAGTGAAATTACTATTACCAGTTATTCTCTCCTATATCGTTTGTGTTTTCGATTAGTGTTTCGGTATTCTAATACCATGTATTCCTATAAAGTAGAGGATAGGTATCATGAATATTCCAATTTTTAGTAAGTAAAATGATTTTAATTCACAATAAATGATTATAAAAATGTTTAAAATATTAAAAAAAAGACAGAGAGAGAGAGGGAGAGAGAGAGAGAGAGAGAGAGGATGGTTCAAATAAAGACAGTAGATAAAGTGAGGACGTGAAGACAATACTTTTATGTTATTATTGTCTTAAGAATTTTATATATATGTTCTATTGTTTGTAATTCTAATGTGATTATTTGACGTATGATTATTCATATATTTATTTGTAGTAAGTTATAATATTAATATTAAAATATGATTATTAATATATTCATTACCGAATAAAGACATAAGACAATGTATAGAAAATTCATGGGAGAATAATAAATAAAAGTATTGTTTTCACGTACTCACTTTATTTACTGTATTCATTTAAACTTATATATATATATATATATATATATATATATATATATATATATATATATATATATATATATATATACACACACACACAAGTAGGTTAATTCGAAAATATACCGTTATGATCAGATATTATAAGTTTAGCCGATTTCTGATGACTTTGCCATCTTTAACGAATCTCTGGTCATTCTTCGACCAAACAAGAGTTTTTCGAAGAAAAAAAATTGGATATGTTTTTGTTTGCATCAGGTCTAATTCAAACACATGAATATACAATTTTTATTGCAAATTCAAACACATGAACAAATCATAAAAACAAAATTGATTTTGCATATGTTATTGTTTGCATCAGGCCCTAAAATCTATATCATTTCTTGTTTCCATATGTTTTTATATATAAACTCACATCTTTGAACATGAACCCATAAACAAACTAAAATATTTGAACATGAACTCAAATCTTTGAATATAGCACCTAGATCTTATGTGTATATGTGTGTGTTTCAAAAAATGAACCCATATCTTCGAATATGAACCGATAAGTCGATTTTGCATATCTTCAAGTTCGTTCCCCACCTTTGAAGATATATTTCTTAATTTCGTGTTTATCAAGTTTAGAGCATGGACCTAGAAAATTTGATTTTGATTTCGTTTTTAGGCACACACACGTTTTCGATTTCATATTCATTGATTTTAAGGTTTAGATTTTGTTTCTCTATCTCTCTTGATTTTGTTTCTTCCTCTTGATTTACGGTTTAAATTTTCGAGATACACACACATCAAATCTTTTTATGTTCATGAGGTCATTAAACACACACAAATGAAGGTTCGATTGTTGCATTTTTTTTTTGTTCAAAACACAAATGTGAAAATCAATAACACATATCTGATATGACAAAAACTCGTCAGAAATCTCATGTTCGTTGGAAACTCCATGTAAAAGATGACAGGATGCAGACCGGCTAAACTTATAATAACTACTCATACATCATAATAATGTTATCCAAATAAAGTAACAAGTTTAATGATATAGATGATTAAATATAAACGGGAGTAAATTTCAATATTTCATTATCCCTTGATAATACGCCACTTAACTAACTTATTTATGAAACATAGCTTATTATAATTGTGAGTTCGGGACAAAAACGTATGAGACAGAAAAGGGAAAAAAATAGGGGTCCTTGTCTTCACCTGGAAACGACGCCGTTGCTCGTTAAGAATTCAACCCACACATTGCATATTTTCAAAAAGGCTTTCGAGAATCTCTGTACGAGTGTGTACTTGCCCCCCTGCTCAACGTTTTCATGTCCTCAACCCCAATCCCCTTTCAATGAAGCTACAATTATCCACCTAATCACATAAAATCACTTAATTTCAAAGAAAAAGCAACATACACACAGTCACACACCGTGTCGAAACCTCCATGGGTATGGAGATCAAAGTTTGGTGTCTCTCATGCATAATCTTTGGCATCTTCTTCGTCTTCCATGGTGATTCCGCCATTGTTGAACAGAACCCAGATAGAGAAAGCTTGGTTTCCTTCAAAAACTCACTTCTAAACAAGCATATTCTCTCCACATGGAACCACAACACCCGACATTGTCAATGGGAAGGTGTTTCATGCCAACATAATCGAGTCACAATGCTCGTTCTCTCACAACAATCCCTCCATGGCCCTCTCCCGGACTCCCTCTTCTCTCTTTCCAACCTCATTGTCCTCGACCTCTCTTCCAATCAGTTTTCCGGCGAGCTTTCACCTAAAATATCCAGTCTCCGGAAACTACGTGTGTTGGATTTGGGGAAAAACCAGTTTTCCGGCAAGATACCGATGGAACTAGGGGAGCTGACTCAGTTGCGAACGCTTGAGCTTGGACCCAACTTTTTTTCCGGCGAAATACCTAAGGAGATTGGGAAGTTGTTAAACCTTGAGTCTCTCGACCTCTCTTCCAACTCACTCACCGGAACAATGCCGCCGGAGCTTGGAAACCTCCATAGACTCCGATCACTTGGGCTTGGTAACAATTTTCTTTCAGGTTCTCTCTCTCCCACTCTCCTCACTAACCTGAAAAACCTAATTTTTTTGGATGTTGCTAATAACACCCTCTCCGGCCATATTCCCCCTGAAATCGGAATTCTCTCAAACCTCACTGATCTTTTCATCGGAATCAACCGTTTCTCCGGTGTGTTTCCACCGGAAATCGGAAATCTTTCGAAATTACAGAATTTCTTCTCTCCTTCTTGCTTAATAAAAGGCCCATTGCCGGAAACAATCGCAAACCTCAAATCTCTATCGAAACTTGACCTTTCTTACAACCCCTTGAAGTCTCCTATCCCAAAATCCATCGGACAGCTACAAAATTTATCAATCCTAAACCTCGTTTACTCCGAACTCAATGGTTCAATACCTAGCGAGCTTGGAAACTGTAGTAATCTCAGAACATTGGTTCTTTCTTTCAATTCATTAACTGGGACCTTGCCGGAAAACCTATCGCAGCTCCCAATGCTCTCGTTTTCTGCTGAAAACAACCAGATTTCCGGTGAGTTACCACCGTGGCTCGGCAAATGGGACCAAATAAACTCACTTTTGCTGTCGGGTAATCGGTTCTCTGGTCAGATCCCACCGGAAATCGGTAATTGCTCACTGCTTAATTTTATTGGTTTAAGCAACAACTTGTTAACAGGTTCGATTCCCAAAGAAATATGCAACGCTGTTTCGTTAACAGAGATTGATCTCGAGAGTAATCTGCTTTCTGGTTCGATTCATGACACGTTTATAGCTTGTAGCAATTTGTCTCAGTTATTGTTGTCGGATAACCAGATTATCGGGTCCATACCCGGTTACTTCTCGAAGCTTCCATTGATGGTTCTTGATCTCGATTCCAATAACTTAACCGGTTCAATTCCGGTGAGTTTATGGAACTCAATAAATCTGTTGGAGTTTTCTGCTTCAAATAACATGATAGATGGTAATCTCCCCAGAGACATTGGGAAATCTGTTATATTAGAAAGGTTGATTCTTAACAACAATCGACTCACCGGAAATATCCCGAAAGAAATCGGAATACTTGATTCCCTTTCCGTTCTTAACCTAAAGTCCAATCAATTTACTGGTTCAATTCCTGTCGAACTTGGGAATTGTGTTTCTCTCACGACATTAGACCTCGGTGATAACAAACTCAACGGGTCAATTCCGGCGGAAATCTCCGGTTTACCTGAGTTGCAATGCTTGATTCTTTCAAACAATGATTTCTCCGGGTCAATTCCGTCGTCAAGAAAGTCAAAGTATTTCCGGCAAACCGGAATCCCGGATTCCAGTTACGTTCAGCACCATGGCCTCTACGATCTTTCCAACAATAAATTGACGGGTTTGATTCCGGATGAACTCGGGAATTGTTCGGTTTTGGTGGATCTTTTGCTCAAGGGCAACATGCTTTCAGGGGAGATACCGAAATCTTTAGCCAATCTTACGAATCTCACCACCTTGGATTTATCCGGTAATCTGTTTTCCGGCGGGATTCCGGGGGAGTTGGGTGGTGCTTTGAAGTTGCAAGGGTTGTATTTGGGGAATAATAATCTCTCCGGTGGGATACCGGAAAGTCTCGGTCAACTCAACAGCTTGGTCAAACTTAATCTGACTGGAAACAACCTTTCCGGGTCAATACCCGAAACGTTTAAAAACTTAAACGGATTGACCCATTTGGATTTAAGCAATAATCTCCTCAATGCCAAACTTCCTTCCACTCTCATGGTGAATCTAGTTGGTTTTTCGTGCAAGAAAACAGGATTTCAGGTTTTTTAAATGAGTTGTTTAATGCTTCTGTGTCATGGCGGATTGAGATGATGAATCTGAGTAATAACTTGTTTACTGGTGAAATTCCTTCGTCTTTGGGGAATTTGTCATTCCTGACGTCATTGGATCTTCACCGGAATGGATTCACAGGGGAGATTCCGTCGGAATTAGGGAATTTAATCGAGCTAGAGTACTTAGATTTCTCAAACAACAAGCTTTCAGGTCGAATACCCAACAAATTATGCAGTATCTCGAATTTAAATCTTGTGAATTTGGAGGGAAACGAATTAGAAGGTCCTGTTCCTCGGAATGGAATCTGTAGCAATACGTCAAGAATTTCATTATCGGGGGAACAAAAATCTTTGCGGTGGAATCCTCGGACTGGAATGCCCTGTTGAAAAATTCCAAACAAAACCACAGTTTCCATATATCTGGGCTTTACTTTCAATCGTGATCGGAACTTTACTGATCATCATCGTCACTCTCTTAAAACTCTGGATGAACAGAATCAGGAAACGCGACAATTCCGAAGATGAAGAAACCGATGTCAGCAAATTAAACACCAATTCACTCGATCAAAATCTGTATTTAATAACCAATAGCAAGTCAAAAGAGCCATTAAGCATCAACATAGCCATGTTTGAACAACCCCTTCTAAAATTAACCCTCGTCGACATTCTAGAAGCCACCAACAACTTCTGTAAATCAAACATCGTCGGCGACGGCGGATTCGGCACAGTCTACAAAGCAAAATTACCAGATGGAAAAATCGTCGCAGTCAAGAAACTAAACAAATCAAAAACCCAAGGACAACGAGAGTTCTTAGCTGAAATGGAAACAATCGGGAAAGTAAAACACCAAAATCTTGTCCCATTGTTAGGGTATTGTTCTTTCGGTGAAGAAAAGCTTCTCGTTTACGAATACATGGTGAACGGAAGTTTGGATCTATGGTTACGAAACCGAACCGGCGGTTTAGAAATCTTGAACTGGACCAAACGGTTCAAGATCGCAATCGGGTCAGCCCGTGGGTTAGCCTTTTTGCACCATGGATTCATCCCACATATCATTCATCGAGACATTAAAGCTAGTAACATTTTACTCAACGAAGATTTTGAACCTAAAGTTGCTGATTTTGGGCTTGCTAGGTTGATTAGCGCATGTGAGACTCACGTGAGCACTGATTTAGCCGGAACTTTTGGTTATATTCCGCCGGAATATGGTCAAAGCTGGAGGTCAACGACAAGGGGTGATGTTTATAGCTTTGGTGTGATTCTTCTTGAATTGGTCACCGGAAAAGAGCCCACTGGGCCTGAGTTTAAGGATATTGAAGGTGGGAATTTGGTTGGGTGGGTTTTGAAGAAGATGAAGAAAGGTCAGGTTGTTGATGTTCTTGATCCAACGGTTGTCAATGGTGCTTCGAAACAGGCGATGATCAAGACTGTTCAGATTGCTGCCATCTGTCTCTCGGAAAATCCAGCTAGTCGCCCTAGTATGCTTCATGTGTTTAAGTTCTTGAAAGCCATCAAAAATGACTTCTTGTGATGTTTTTTCTATACCCATGGTAGAATTGTAAAATCAGGAGTATGTTTCTACGTTTATCTAGAAGAAGAATCTTTTACTAATTTCTTGAAATTTGAATCATTGAATGTGTTCTTCTTTTAACTTGTGTTTTGGAAGTTTTACATTTTTACCAATTGGATAAATACAAGAAATACATACGATCCTAAAAGCAACATTAGTATTAGTATTGAGTTCGAAAAAGAAACAGCATAATCAACCAAAAAACACAAGTGTAACTATAACAATAATAGTAAAAAATTGATCAAAAATGTAAGAATTTTGTTAACAACACAAAACTCTACAACCAAAATCTAGCCAAATTATGGATCCACGTAATCTACAACAATCGTAGACACGAAAATGAAAAAAAGAACACCATTAAGAAACATACATAATCCCATTTCTATATAGGGCAAGATTAACTGAAACAAAAATACACCAAATGAAAACAACCCACCAGGCCATAAACAAACCCATTTCTTTGATCAAAGCAGAACACGGGATCATGTTACACAAAGCTGGAAAGTGATCAAGAACATTATCATTGATTCGTGATAAACCAAGAAAGAGGAGAACAAAAGCAGGCTGCGAGAAGAATTGCAGAGCAGCAAGGCACAAATAGTGGTTATGGAGGAACACTTTGGCTCGACTGTAATCCAAATCAGGGAACTTACTTGCATGTAATCTTTGGTACCATGATAACACTGCTTCGTTCAAAAACATTTGCACATTCGCTCGAAATGTTAGCATTTGTAAAACTCCGGTTGCTAGCATACACCATTGCCGGAAGTTGTTGAAATCGGATCTTGACATACCCACGTTGCCGACTAAACGATCTTTGTGTTGAATGTTGGGTGAATGATTTGATTGTGATCGTTTGTTTGTGTCGATGTTTTTGTTAACAAGGAGATCGGAAAAGGGGTTAATCCAAAGCAATGAAGTGAAGATCGCTAATAAGTAGGTGATGTGAAGTAGTGTTCTTCCAAACCATCCGCAGTGAATCATCGATAAATTACAGCGAATCTGATCGGTTCCAAGCCAGTAGGCGCGAGCGGTTTTAGTTGCCGGAACGTATAGCAGTCCGGCGAGGGAGCCCATGAATACCGCGGTGCAAAATTTCCCATACCCATCGAGAGATTCAAACGGAAAATCGAAAATCCAATTGGGAAAAACTTGGAGGACGATGAGGAACGCGATTACAGTCGCGGAAAACCCGATGAAAACACTCAATTGTTTTTCAGAACTCTTGGAGGCAGATCGCTCGAAAGAAACCCTAGCAATCGTGACGAATACTCTAACAAGCCCTAAAAGCCCTAACAGGATTGGAATCAATGTACCATTTGGCAGAACCCCGGAGGAATCTTTTGATGAAGGTAAAAAGTTATGAAGCAACAAGCAAGAAGATGCGACGATGGTGAAATTGAAAACCCCACGAAACTGATCGAAATACAGCCTTGATTGGAGGTGATTGTGATTGAGTTTGAGTCTAAAGATCTGAGCCTTGTTTTCATCAAATTCAAACTTATTGGATTTCTTCCTTGGTTTCAATTCACCAGTAGTGGCGTCACCCGGCCTTCGGATTGCGGCTTTGATACCGGAGGAGTTGGGGTTTGGGGGTGCGACGTCATCAGGGTGGATGTAAGTGTGGAGGCCATGAAGGAAAAACGATGTGATCTTGATGAAGGAGAAGAGGAGAGTGAGGAAGAGAGAAAGTGCTGCGTGGATTATGAGGTTATTGTTGCTCGATGTGAAGAATAATGACATTGTTTCTCTGAAGAAATTCAAAGAACAGAGCTGATTTTGAGCATAAGAAGAGATCTCAAGACTGAAATCAGTCTGTGTTCTATTCAATTTTGTATCTTTTTGGTGTTAAACTGTTTATTCCACCATTTCCTTTCTAAATTGGGCTTGTTATGATCATGATCTCCAACTTCTGTTTCGGAATGCCCAACCCAAATACTTTTCTCCTTCATATAAGCCTATAACCTTTAGCCCATATGACTTTTTTTAGGAAAGTTGTAGGGTTTGAGAAAATCATCCCCCGTTCATTTATTGATAAGTACAAATAATGCAAATAATTTACAATCGAAAATGAAATGAAAGTATATACATCAAATAACCAAGGTTCCAATCTTTACACTATTATGTTGTGACATGTGTTGTACAACTCTAATATCTCCCCTTAAGTTAAGAGGTGATGGGCCAATACAATGCTTGGCATGAGAATATTCAAACATGGGACACATAAGTTTTTTTTTTTGAGGCATGATATGTCCTATAACGATGTGTGGTAGCTAGGTTATAATATTCTTTTTATGTAAAATAAAGTTTTATTTTCTTCTATAAATAGACAAGAAAACTATTCATTATAGTGTTTAGCTTTATAATTAAAACATGTTGTAGAAGAAGCGTTAGAAATGAATAAATTAGGTAAATTAGTGTTGATTTGGTAGTTGACCGACGTAGTTAACTCGAGACTAATTATTCTATAAAATGTGGCGGAGACTGAATGAGTAAATTTAAGATGACTAGTTTTTTTCACTTAAAATTGTAATCCTAGTGTGGACTTAAGAAGATTAATGGTTAAATGTGTAATCAGGGCATATATTAGAGAGAGAGAGAGAGAGAGAGAGAGAGAGAGAGAGTTGGAAGTCTTCTCAACTATTGTGTGAGGAGAAATGGTGATTTCAATAGATCCAAGGAGTTAGAAGTGAAATCAATGTGTATTTGGAGGAATTGAAGTTAGGTTTACATCATTAAAGCTTTAGAGGTATACAATCTTTTTTAACTTTTATCAAAGATTGATCTAATGTTTGGATTCCAGTCCAAAACCAAAATTTATGGAGATTTAAGAGTTTAAAATCAATCAATAAGTTATATCTACTATTTAGTTTATGAATCTGAGCTCTGATCTCTATTATATTGGTTGATTTGGATTGATGGACCTTGTGTACTCATAAACCCTAGTTTGGGAGAGAAATTAGAATTTGATGATTATTAAGCTTTATGTACCTTTTAATGCTAGAAAACTTGTAATGTATCATCGAGTAATCATCATATCATAATTGAAGTGCTTGATTTCATCTATACTAATGGAACTAGGGATAGAAAACCCTAGTTGGTGAAGAGTTATACTCTAGCTATTAGGACATGTACATAAACTTCATGTTATGAATTTTAAAATAAATTAATGATTATATGGTTAAAAGTAAGTAATTAGTTGAATGGGTTGTTATATGATTCCAATAGACATTTTAGATATTAAACATAATAAATATTTCTATTTTATACGTTACCAAAACACCAAGATGAAGAGTCTTTGCTAAAAATAATCTTCGGTTACTTTTACATCAAAAAAAAATCTCACTCACATCCTATACAAGAAATCTAACATATGTATGAACTCAAACATAATCAATAATAGAACTGAGAAAGGTATACAAGATTAATATAACAATTTACTGGTTTTAAACATGAAACAATGTCTCACACAGTAAACACGAGGTTGAAGACGAAGTGGTGTTTGTTTTTGAAGAGGTAAAACTTAGGCAATCTGCAGACCACATATATAAAAGAGTAGTGGACTAAAAATCTTCAGTCTACAAGAAAAAAAGTTACTTGTTTTTTAAAGTCTACATGTTGCTAAAAAATAGAAGTTTAAATTAAACATAAGTTTCGTATATACTCTTCTTAAATAATATTTTCCAAACCTAATTTATATCATATTTACTACTCATAAACTTTCAAAGTATCATAATTTCAAAAACCCATCTTTTTAAATATTTTAAAGCATTATTTTTATACAATCGACTATTATACACTTTTAAAACGCTTAAAACACCATTTATACATTTCATAGACTTTTAAAATATTTACCCAGTTTACTATTTTAATCAATTTTAATGTTCCTATAATGTCCTGGAAATACTAGTAATATTTTCATTTTTAAAACACCAAAAAACAGTGCAATCATTTGTTTCAAAACCAATCAATGTATAAAGTGTTCTCAAACATCAGAGTGGATCAAACAGATACTGCATAATAAACTCCAGAGGATGTTGTGTGATAAAGTCAGACTCTTCCCTTTGGAAACAAAAGTACCTTAAACATTTAAACCACAAAACTGTATGCAAAAACCTTAGTGAATTCCCCAAAATACCACATAACCATATGGGCTCCTGCTCATTAAATTCAAACGAGCCCCGCCCAACATACATATCAGGTCCTGCCCATCATATATAATGGGCCCCACCCAATTCACATAACGTGCCCAACCCAACATACAAATGATCCCCACCCAATATACATGCAAGAGTCATAATGACACTTAACATCTTACATAGTAGAGTGGGAAGACTCATATCACAATTTTAGTCAATAGCTAACAGGATCACATAGTAGAAATGTGGATGCTACACACCTCCTAATGAATCATTTAAGGTAAACTCTCAGTTTACCTTCTAAAATTAGTCATTTGACCAAAAGTTAACCCATATAAAAAAGTCATCGATCAATGTCAAAAGTCAACTCTAGGTGCATTCCACATCACGACCAACAAATGGCTACAATATGGTCCTTCAACTTAATCTTTATCAAAATCCATTTGCGATATCGAGGTAGACATGCTACGACGCAGTGGCAGAATCCAAACAATGTAGTCACGACCAAACCAGTCTCCACGTCGTGGCAAGCAAGTCGTCACGCCGTGGAAAATTGAACACGGACTGCTTAATGGATTAAACTTTTAACTCCTAATATCAAAAGCTCCAAAGTTCATATTTGAATCTCTATAATTTCTTCATGGATAAAGTTTCCAACTTTATCCATTAAGACGCACCGATAAATCAAGATCTCTACTCTAAAGTTTTTAATGATTGCACCAAAGGCATAAACACCAAAATGATTCATACAAGACCACTTTCCAACCAACACCATGGTTTAGAAGCCAAAATATGCACCCAAAGGCTATAGAGTACACTCAAACTCCAAGGACAAGAAGATTGAGAATAAAAAGCTCATAAAAAGACATAGAATAGGATCTAGAGAAACAAAGAGCAAGATTGAGACTTTATACCTTCACACGGTCTGAAATTAGATGAAGTTGTTGGATCTAAGTTGGAAGCAAGCTAACAAACCACAAGATGAGCTTCTTCTTTCTTCAAACTTCACAAAAATGGCTTGACACACTCAAAATACAAAAAAATAAGCTAGGGTTTGGGTGGATTTCAGAGGATGAAGACTGACAAAATGAGGTGGCCCTAGGAGTCAGTTCCCTTAAATACGGTACAAACCCGAAGATCTAGGGTTTGCACCAAAACTAACCGCTACACCTTGGCAATTAGGCTACCACATCGTGACACTTCCAGCTCCACATTTTTAATCGGACAATTTCCATGTCTTGGGGCCTTAATAGCCACCACGTCATGACCCACCCAAAACCGTCACAATTTATAATTAAAATAATTAATTAGGAAAAAGTATTACTTGGAAAATGGATGTTACATGATCCAGGCTTGTATTTAATCGTTTACTTTATTTTCTAAAATTACAACCCTCTTGCTTCTTATGTATCTCTTAATCCTTATTTTCATTGATCGCTTTTTCATCAACTTCAACAAGTCAACACACTCACACGTCTATCAAGTAGATATGCTAAAGCATCAATAATCCAAATACATATGTTTAAAGATAACCGTAAAAGTAGATATGTTAAAGCATCAGTAGGCCAAATACAAATGTATAAAGATAATTCAGATTTTGTATTTTGTTAAGTGATCACTTCAAACATAACAAATACCAAGAGATTATAATATCACAACGTTAAAAAATAAACAACAATCCGTAAAACTAAAATGACTATCCACAAAATAAATTACAGTTTATATAAGCCAAAATTTTAAATGTTATAACTTCATAGACTTTATAAAGTACATACCAATCACAACAACCATACATGCCAGTAACTTCAAACTCTTTAACTTATTTAACATATATAAACCAAATTCCCTACATTTTTCTCAAAAAAATATCATCATCATCATCATCTAAATAGCAATGAGTAAGTCCTCTTGCCAAAATCCAAACCCCCATACACCTATCTGAAAATGGATTCCCCAGACACCTAAAAATCCTTCTACTTGTTTACATATAATTATTTGTAAAAAATAAGATCACACAAAATCATACAAAATCCATATTTCAAGTATAAAATCAGACCAACATAATATATCAAGCAAGAATCACACCAAATTCAGACCAAAATCGGATTTCAAGCAAGAATCACATGAAAGTCAGACGAAAATCATATTTCAAGCATATAATCAGACAAAAGCTAATTTCCACAAAGGATGTGACTAGCAATTTCATCCATGATCAACTATTTTTGTAACATCAAACAATAATGAATAAATAATTGGAAATTAGAAGAAATACCCACAATAGAGAAGATATAGTGGCCAAAAGAGTTGTGGTGTAGGTTGTCATTAGCGTTGAGTGTGGCCAGTATTAGAATAGGTATGAAAAATGTTGTAAGTGGTGATGGTGAATACGACATTGTCACGCCCCCAAACTGAGACGACAGAAACGTTCGGGGGGTGGGGGACGTCATGTACAGTATCACAATAATTGTATAATAGTAATCAAAGAAACAATAACTATTGTATTAATAATATAGAGTTTACATTTTATACGAATCACCGTTTGATTGACTCCAAAAGTAAATAGCAAAAACAAAGACTTGAAGCTACTATGCTCCATTTTCTTGA